TTGTTTAGGTTTAACTAATACTATCAACTTTAACTGTTCAGGTTTAACAATTACATCAACTTTAACTGTTTGGTTTAACAATTACATCCAATTTTAATTGTTTGGTTTAACAATTACATCCCATTTTAACTGTTTAGGTTTAACAAATACATCAACTTTTAACTGTTTTGGTTTAACAATTACATCCAATTTTAATTGTTTTGGTTTAACAATTACATCCCATTTTAATTGTTTTGGTTTAACAATTACACCAACTTTTAACTGTTTTGGTTTAACAATTACATCAACTTTTAACTGTTTAGGTTTAACAATTACATCAACTTTTAACTGTTTAGGTTTAACAATTACATCAACTTTTAACTGTTTTGGTTTAACAATACATCAATTTTAATTGTTTTGGTTTAACACACCAATCAAAGATGTCAGATTAAATGACAATTTAAGCCATCTTAACTATTTTCTATAGTACTTTAGGAACTTAAGGTACATCTTAAGGTTCAGTCAGAAAGGTTATCATTTCTTACGTTAGAATACACCCACGTAATATCACTATGCCTTCCAAAACGTGGGGGGGGGGGGGAAGGTGTGTTTTGCTGATGACACCAATACATAAGTTCGTTATCACGTGCTTTTCTAATGATATGACGGATACACTCACCTTAAGGTCGCGTTTTTTTGTTGTTTTTTTGTCTCTTCTTGCACTCACATTGAACACGTTTTCTCGATTTTATATCAAAACTAAATATTTATTTACACAAAACTGTTCTAAGCTGTACTTCTTCTTTGAATAACCTTGACGACACACAGTTACTTTAAAACGTTTTCTTCACCACATCAAGTCCTCCAAACTTTGATTGGAACGCTCCTACAACAGAACAGGTTACAAACTGAAGTCGTAACAGTGGACAGGGTTTTCAACTATTCCTGTTACTACCGATATATTAGTAAATAGATCATTTTGGATGACTCACCTCTACACAAACCAGTATAGAACAAAAACATCGACTTTTACACATCCCTTTCCTGTTCGGAGTTTATAACAATCAACTTCCCGGATGTTCAGCAGGTAATCCTGATGCACTCCGCACATCATGTACGTATACATATTCTTCAGATTGTTTCCGTCCGGAGTTACTGCTCTTTTACTGAATAGGTAGTTCCTGTTCTGCCAAAATATGAATTTTCCTGGTGCCAGATACAACTGGAAGAAAAAAATTTCCACAGAGACCAAACTACTTTCTAGACACAAGCACACAACATGTTTATGTGTGTACGTTTACCCAATGCAAGCGAATACGCGCTACATCGCTATTCATGAACATTTCGGTCATGTATGTGTTTGTTTGTTTGAAATTAAGCACAAAGCTACACAATGGGCTATCTGTGCTCTGCCCACCATGGGTATCGAAACCCGGTTTCTAGCGTTATAAGTCCTCATATATACCGCTGTGCCACTGGATGGGGGGGGGGAGGCTCATGTGTGTGTGTGTCTGTAAAATAGTCTTGGTTCATCGCGTCCTAAACGCGGTCAGATAGTTTCTGAATGTCTCTACTATTCGCTATGCAAACGTATTGTAACAGACCCAAGGCTATCACATTAAACAACGTCTGTGATTCATGTGAGTCTCCATAGGAAACTAAACCTTCCTCGTTAAATCACACGCGGATGTAAGCAAATAAAAATCTCGATAGTCCATTAATTGAAGCATGTGATCGCTGAAACGTGAATTTAACTGTTTCCTTGTATAATGAATAAGATACACGCATGACATTATATGTTAAGAAACAAGAGTTTTTATCGTCAACCATGGGTAAGCTTCTTATTCTAATATAACAAACAACGTAACTGCATGATTTTGGATTTTATAATGTTGGAAGTTTAACTTTACCCTTGATTCAAACGAAAGACTTAAAGATTATTCTAAAAAAGAATAAAAATACATAAATCAATTTAAACGAGTAGTCTTCTAGATGCTTAGAGCCAAATTTCTACAAATACTAATGACATCAAAGGGTCTTCCAATTACACACTTTTTTGGCATTCCCTTTGAAGAGGAGTAAGGAAATGCATTAAGAGACTTATGGGCATTTTCACAAATCAACAAAGGACTCAATACTTCGAATTAACTCGGTATAGAAGTCGATTTAAACATATATTTGTTGTTTCAACCTGTTCTATTCAATTAAGGTTTCGTCGCTTGAAGCCAGATAATGTGCCACTGTCTTCTATTCATACAAATTATGTAATACAATTCATACATAATTTGTATGAATAGACGACAGTGATACAATTCATACATAATTTGTATGAATAGACGACAGTGATACAATTCATACATAATTTGTATGAATAGAAGACAGTGCAACAATTCATACATAATTTGTATGAATAGACGACAGTGCCACAATTCATACATAATTTGTATGAATACAAGATGCTACAATTTTTTTTTTTTATTTTTACAATTACATATAAGAGAAGCAGCTTTTCATGTCCTGAGATAACCTTTCATTAATCATGAATTTACATAACAGCTAGTATAACAATAATAAAGAATAAAATAATGTAATGGTTAAATATACCTAATGCTATTGTTTCACGACAAGTATAATTGTTTATAATCACGATTCGCCAACTAAGAGCGTTCACACCGCAAACAATTGTTATTCCAACAAATGGCTTATTACAAAGAGCGTTATCACCACTACCGTGTTAGCTGCATCGTGCTCGCCTGATGAATTCAGATAATGAACGAAATGTGTGTGGTTATAATGGATAAAAGTTGTGGTTGAAATACTGTCATATACTCTTCTTCCCTGACAAACCAAAGAAGACCAATTGAACAATGTAGTGTTTAAGAAAAAAAATAAAATCCAGCCTGCTATTCTGATAATACTTTCTTTTTCTATCCCAGCCAGTTTGATAAACTCTGGTATTTTGCAAAATGCGTTCTTTAGGGACGCCTATAAAAATAGTCCTAAGGGAACATATAAATGATTTTGAGACTAAGATAAGTTTGTGGATGGAAAAACCAACTTCAACATTAAACCACTCGAAGAGTTTTATTTATTATTATAAGATATAGAACTAAAGTAAAGTTATCTACAATATTTTTTATTATGATTATTATTATTACTTAGGTGTATTTTTTATACTAAGTTAATGAAAGTGAATATTGCAGTGCCCACAAATAGTCCACTGGTTAGTCAGAGGTAAGTTTACGGACTTATAACGCTAAAATTCTGGGTTTGATTCTCACGGTACCCAGAGCCCATTATGTAGATTTCCGCTAAAGCAACGACGACACACGAATATGATTACAGCAGCTGAACTTTCAAATATAATGAGAGAACTAAAATCAGATGTGTACGCTGTATTTTGTACTATTTGGGTTACGTATTCAGAGTACAGTTTTCGTGATATTTATAGTTGAGTAAGAAGGAACTGAACTTCTAATAGCTTTGCTCTGTTTTCCCTGGGGACATGAACATACACACCAACTTACTGATAATAAGGTGGAGATATCTAAAATAAAATCATTTGTAAAACAAACAGGGCTAAATGGAATATAGTTAAAAACAAATATTAACAGAAGGTAACGTTAAGCCTAGTTTTAGTGTCTGTTTAGCAATTACATCCCATTTTAATTGTTTTGGTTTAACAATTACATCCCATTTTAACTGTTTAGGTTTAACAATTACATCAACTTTTAACTGTTTAGGTTTAACAATTACATCAACTTTTAACTGTTTAGGTTTAACAATTACATCAACTTTTAACTGTTTTGGTTTAACAATTACATCCAATTTTAATTGTTTTGGTTTAACAATTACATCCCATTTTAACTGTTTAGGTTTAACAATTACATCAACTTTTAACTGTTCAGGTTTAACAATTACATCAACTTTTAACTGTTTTGGTTTAACAATTACATCCAATTTTAATTGTTTTGGTTTAACAATTACATCCCATTTTAACTGTTTAGGTTTAACAAATTACATCAACTTTTAACTGTTTTGGTTTAACAATTTACATCCAATTTTAATTGTTTTGGTTTAACAATTACATCCCATTTTAATTGTTTGGTTTAACAATT